CTGTGCTGTTTGATATTCTTAAGGCCCGTTCACACTCTTGCAACCGAGTGCGACCGAGAGAGACCAAACCGGTTTTTAAGCCTCTTGCGATCTCTTAGGACCAGCTCCGCCCAGTGCATCCGGTCCCAAGAAGTCTTTCTCGGTCGTACTCGGTTGCAAGAGTGTGAACGCGCCTTTAGATCCGGACAACGACGTTGTTACCTCTATCTTCGAGGACGGACACCATTCAAGAGTGCCTAATCATCCCTGCATGCGGAGCCTCTGCCTAGTGAAGTCATCAACACGTGGTCATCATCCGCGCTAAACAACGCGCATGTCCTCAAACTCTGTCTTTAGTTGGCGGTGGCAGATTTTGCAGATTACACTGAATGTCTTGCAATTCTTAAGTGAGTGAGTTTGTACCCACGCACTAGCCTTCAAATTTTTTTGCTTTGTTTTTTTGCCACTGCGGACTGACTGACTAACTGCTTTCTTTGTTCTTCATGAGTTTGAATACTGCCGAAGCTATAAAAGCTATTTAAGACCTCAAACACATAACTGCGTACTGAACTACGCTCTCTACACCAGAGCGTCTAATATACCTCTGATGCTGGTAATGAATTTAAGGCAGTTTTGTCATAACTAAAAACCCTCACTTCCAAGGTAAAAAAGGGTAGCGAAGATTATGCTGTGCTAAAAAACAAATGAGCACTTAACAGAGGAACTCACTAAAGTTGAAGAGAGGATTTCCGAGCTGGAACAATACAGCCGACTGAACGATGTTGAAGTTAGGAGCCTACCGACAACTATAAAAAAACAAAACTAACGAAACGGCTTCTAAAATTGCACAACTTGCTAACCTTCCACTGGAGCTCTCTAAAATCGACAGTTCCCATATTGTCCCAAAGAAGAAAGGGAATGAATTTAACCTAGTTGTGAGATTCACGATTATGTATAAACACAATGTATTCTTGGCGGCAGCGAAGAAGGTAAACAAGAACACCTTTCTAATGGGTTTCGACGAACCTGATAAACTCGTTTATGTAAACAAACGGCTGACAAAAAAAACAATAAAAACACGGCTCTTTGATGCTAGAATTGTAAGAAAAAGGGAAGTTTTTGAAAAGCATGTATGGTCGAGGAATGGCGTTGCTTTAGCGCGAAAGACTGATAATTCAAATGTCTTTCGGATGATATACCAAATTGGCTTATTAAAAATGGCGTGAACAGCGCTTTTGTTCGTTCATGTATTGCATGATTTTTTTTCAGCCTTACATGAATGACACGCTCCTGTTCACTATTTTTTTAGTTTACTACATCTGTAACGTTAGATAATACTACGCACCTTCAAGTCATACATTTAATATGCAGTCTGCCGTAAATAAGACCTTTAAACAATCTGACATGTTCATCGTGTTCTTTTTACGTCATTTGTTTATCCGAACCTCGGTATCGGACTGACAGTGACGTTGTACGTATTCCGGGGTATAACTCGTTTTATATCCACCGCCCTGCAAAACGAGGTGGGGGCATTGCTATAGTGATAAAAAAAGCTATATCTGCGAAGTCTTATCCGCCCACAGTTTATCTAACCGCGAAATCAAAAGCAATATGGGCGCAATACCTTTTCTGTTGTATGTTGTCCACCTCTTGGGAACTTAGGCCTATCTTTTGAAAGCTTTGAACGTGCAACCTATTTCTTTAGTTCTGCAAACTATTTGTCTACTATAGCTGGCGACTTCAACCTTGATATGGGAGCAAACAACCTCACACTCTGGGTTTCCGGAATGCAATTACTAGCCCTACACTCACTACAGCTTCTGATTCTGTTTTAGGCCTAAATAATATAAATGACAATGGCACAATTTAGGCAGGTTGTATTCCACTGATACTAGTGATAATCTTCCCATATTTTTCTGCATAAAAAAACTAATTCGCTCAAATCCTATCAATAAAAATAACGTCAGCTTATATCTCAGGAAAAACTCGATATGTCTAAAAGTCATATTTCCCGTTTGAATTGGGGCTCGGTTTACAAGCAGAAACTGTTGATGATGTTTATAATAGGTTTCCTGAGCTTTTCACTTCAATTTATAATGACTGCTTTCTAATTGTCAAAATAACACCATGTAAAAATGCACGAAAACCCTGGATGACACGCCGTCTCTTTCGACTCGTCAAGAAATATAAAAATTATTTGCAGCATTTACTGAAAATAAAGGTATCACTGTACTAGCGCAATATAAGTATGCGCAATTGGCTCAACAGTGAAATTAGATCAGCTAGAATTGCTTACTACAATAATCTTTTGGTCACCACCTTTCTATTAACCTAAACAAAAATGGAGGCGCCTCAACCTACTTCTCAATAAAAGCGTTCAAAACCAAATGATTACAAGTTTAACAGTTAATGACAATGTACTACTGGGTTCCAATTTAGCTACATCTTTTCATAATTTCTTTCGCAAGTAGGTAACAATCATCACGATCCTGACATTTTCGATTTCATAGGTGATAGGTTAACAGAAACCATTTTTTAAAATCAACTAATGAATTTGAAGTTTCATCGTTTTGTAAAAGCCTAAAATAAACGAATTGCCTTGACTCGCATAACCTGCAGAGTCGCCCAGAAATATATCTTTCCAACAATTTTACCGTGTCTAACACATATTTTTTCACGCAGCTCTGATGACGGGGCACTCCCTTACGGATATGAAGCTCGCAAGGGTTGCAGTGATTTAGTAAAAAAAGGCGACAGAAATAATTTCGGTAACAGTAGACCCATTTCTGTACTTCAGTATTTTCGGAAAGGATTAGAACGTATAAATCACTTCCGTTTAAATAAATTCTCCTAAAACACTCTGTGACAACTAATTGCCAATACGGGTTTACTAAAATCGATCAACGGAACATGAGTTACTTCTGCAAACAAAATACAGTTGGAAAATGTTGAATCGCAGCTTCTTACTCTTGGTGTTTTTGTTGACTTTACTAAAGCGTTTGATACCATATATCATGAAATTATTTTTTCTAAACTAGAGCATTACGGCGAAGAAAGGCATGCCCTAAATCGTATTAAGTCCTATTTCAGCTCGCGGTTTCAATATGTGCTTATGAATCACTGCCCTTCAAATATCCTTCAAATCAACAATGACATCCCTCAGGGTAGTATTTGGACAATTACTGGTCAATGTGTATATAAATGATTGTTCCAATGTTAGCCCTTTAAAAAAAACTTTTTTATGTAGTCGGCACCAGCTTTTTCCTTTCTTCGTCTGATATCAAACACCTGACCTTCATTGCAAACAGTGTATTGACATTATTAATGCGATGATCATTTGTCAAATCGTTCAAAATAAACTAAAGAAAACTAAATAAAAAATTTTCCCCCCTAAAGGAAAGTATGTAATTAATCCACCGGTATATTTTTTAATGTTACTGTAATTGACTTCGAGAGAAGTTTCCGATCCCACGGTGTAACTTTCTCTGCAACATTAACATAGGATACCCATGTAAACGAGCTTTGCATTGCCCTCTAGAATAGTTGGCATTAATCCTCGTCATAGGCATGTTCTATATATGAAAACAAAGCTGGCTCTGTATTATGGCCTCTTTATTTATACCTAAATTATAGTTTCCTTGTTCGGGGAGACAACACACAAAAGATAATACGCAAAAGCTCATAACTACATACACAAGAGATAATACACAAAAGCTCACAACTTTACAAAAGAAAATGCGTCGTGCTACTAAAAATACCCCATACAATTCCTCTACTAGGCAGACTTCCTTACGCTTTAAAATTGTGCATGTGAGTAATTTATTTGAATATAGAACTGCCTGTTTCTACAAATAAAAGAATTACGAACACTGATAGATTTTTTCAAGTTTTGTTGCGTAGGTGCCTGATCTTATCCTCAATAAATCTAGAAAAAAGGTACTTTTGAACTGCCCAAATTCAGAACGAAATATGGCGTTGCTACGCTGAGTTATGCTTTGCCTAAATATTTTAATTATTCCTTGAGTGATCTTTTGAACCATATATCTTTCTAGTCACCGTAACTATTTTTTAAAACTCGGTATCGTTTCAGCTGTATGTTAACTGATCTCTTTATTTATGTAAAAGTAAACTTTGTATAGTGCGTATTGTGTAAATATGTAATTATGTTGCACAGTACAATATATGTGTTTCCACTGTTGAATTGTAAAGTGTGGTGAGGCTCGACAAGCAGTATAAAATGCTTTTTCTTGCACCCTACTTTCTTTTTCAAACTGAATAAAGTTTGATTGATTGAGGAAGACGATGGGAGGGGTGTGCAATAAACAGATCAGAAATAAATTCATATAATTTTTTCAGTAGGGTAAATACCCGGTATATATGTCCTCGACCCCAAAAATATGCAAGCTTAATCATGCTGACAATAACTGGTAAGTGCATAATATGTGATAGGCTTTCCATGAAAAAAAAAAGAATGGCGTCTGAACGGCACCTCCCACTGAAGGGCCGCTCTCATTCCTGTCACACGCCATGAGATGGCGCAGCATTATAGAAAAGGCTGCAAAGCGCGCGACCACGACTTCGCGTGCCACGTGTGCCACAACGCGAGTGAGTTCGTTCTTACGTGCTCCAGTCACCAAATTCTGGATAGCTCAGTCGGCAAAGCACTTGGTTAACAATCTCAAGGTGGTGAGTTTAAATCCTGCGAAGGGACTGAAGCCTCCTTATAGGGTTCCCTATGAGCATCTTGAGGTAAAAGCATCACAATAGGACCAAAACGAGCCGGTTGTCCAGTTGCGCTGTTTTTACCTCAAGATGTCAAATAACAATCCAGCCTAAACAACTTAGAATGAAACTTCTCTATGTGCGTAGCACTTTTCGATGTTCGGTTTCTTGTTACATCCGGCTGTTACAACCAAGGGATACAAAACTCCACGAAAGCGGCTGATAAAACACAATTTGTGTTAAAACTTTAAATGAGCAAAAAAAAAAAAAAGCCAAAAAACAAACAAAAAACACCAGACCTCCATTCTTCGTTGCACAAGCAAACATTGGCCAGAAGAGCCCAATGGACCAGAGAACACGATGACAGCCACCGTAGATAGCGTTCGTAAGGCCGTCAGGCATGCGACCTTCATTCCAAGGTACAGTTACGAACATCACGAACGATGCCAAGCCTAATGATGCGAGCCACAACACAATCTCGATCACCTGCAACAGACGTGGTGTTCCAAAAACTGAGTTTTTATCAGAAACTAATGACGATGTTATAATTTCATTCTTTTCTTGCCTTTTCTGAAGGAAAAAAGTGAAACGGTAGTACTAAAGGGGAATAAAACTAAAGTTAGAGATTATAAAGGAAAGGTATTGGCCCATATACTATAACATCTAGCAGAATAAGTTCCATTGTTAATTGTCGGGTTAATAATTGAACCAAATATTATAACGGATGAACACCAGTGACAAATTTAGAGCATGCAAGTGACGACTGGAACTTAATTCACGTCATTTTTGTGCTTTGAGCAACTACTTAAACGGAAACTGAAGAGGTCCTTGAATTCGAACACACAATAAATGTTTTAACTTAGGAGCCTTAAATAATATGTATGTCAAGTTTTATTTCAATCGTATTAAAAGGAGCGTCGTAATATCCAATTAAAAGTTCGACGTAGACCGGCCCGTTGCGGCGTGCCGACGGTAGGAAAGCGTGACAACAGAGAAAAAAGAGCCAAACTGACGTCATCAACGGAGTCCGATGGCCCTTTCTCGCCACTAAACTGTCTCGGGGATGCCGTCAATGACGCCACGACGTGCTGGTCAGATAACAGGCGGCAGAGAGGATCGCGGCATGTCCAGTGGGATTCGCTGCACGAATGTTTCATAAGAAATGCGGCTTACGTTTACTTTTGTCCAAGATAAGTGCGATAATGGAATTCACGGGGAAAAAAGCCATATACGTCCGCTCATATTTCAGATTTCTCAAAACTGCTTCACGCTCCCTTTGAGAGAGAAGAAAAACTTGTACTTAGGATGTGTCGTTTCCATGAATCTAGACGTGTTTACTTGAGATTTTTAAAACTGGGAACATAAGATTTAAGCAGAAGGCGGTCGTGTTTGTTGAGCGAGTAGCAATTTAAAATCTTGAGTATTGAGCCTAATAGTCGTAGAAATAATCGCAACCGCCTATCGCAAAATAAAAAATATGACTCGAGCAATATTCATGCTGATCTCCAAAGTTTAGTAGACAAATAAAATAGTAGTAGCTTAAAGCTCGCAACTATATTCTGACACCGGCATTTACAAGAAAGAAAAACCACAAAAAATCTGTCAAGTTAAAAACGCAGTTACAATACTTTAAACAAAATTCATTAGTAAATATAAGATACATGCATGATCAACTGACGCGTCGTACTCCCTACTTACCTTCCTTAGGTGATATTTCTGGTAACGAACGGCCAGGTATCCGCAAACGACTCCACATACATACTCAGGCACATGAACAAACGGTCGAAAATGAATAAGCTCCAGGGTTGCTGCGAAGCGCCTGAAATTTCGCATGGTAGTGTTTCAGCTGATAGAATATTTTAGACGAAGCTTTCTCGGTGAACTACAGATGAATAATCACGCAAGCAGCTTGACGTAAGTCCGGTGCGGGTGAAACAACTTTTTCTGCCATTCCTAATGAAAATATTGTTTATACGCGCTTTTCCTACGCATTCTTCATAAAAATGGCATATACCCTTTTCAGAAGGGTGCGCCATCAAGTAGCTGCTGCGCCAACTATCCGAATCTGCAATTATTTGGGCATGTACTCTGAGCATCTATTTGACACGAGGGTTGCGTCAGCATTCGGAGAGGACCCGGATCCAATCACAGGCTTTTGCGGCAAGGAAATGGCGACCATCAATGTTGCTTGATGAGCTTCTGAAAATGGTCTATTATGAGCCTGACCTCTACAATGATTGCCAGAATAAGAAATAATAAACTACAAATACGTGTCTATAAAATTCCTACAAATACATCAGGCAGTTGGTATGAACCGTCTGAACATCTAAATGAAATGAATCGCAAACTTTTGAGGAGGAACGAATCAAGCAGAGATGGCTGTAGCGATGCAGATGATGCAGATAACTTCAATGTACCTATTGCTAAATTACCCAAGCATCAAGGATAATACAGGGAATGTAGGTCTAAGCACCGCATGGACTTGCCTCTGGAGCAGTAACAGTTCAAAAGCGAAAGCCTAAAACAAATGGCACCTTACATGCGCGTTCGCAAACGCCTTAGTTTGATCATTTACTTGGAATCTTTTAGACGGCGAAGGCAAGCGAGTGCTGCGCGTCGACCTACACTCTCAGCATTTTCTTTTGATGCTTGGGTAATGTGGCAATAGGTCTATTGAATATACACATCTAAATTCATTCTGTTCTCGCTGATTATGAAGGGAGAGCCGGTACCTGTTTATGCCAATTAGCAAACAAGATAACACAATGTAGTTTACCTTCCATCGTTGGTCCCGAAGGTTATGCCATAAAATAGTTGCCAGGTGTAAGTCTGAATTGTTGCGATAGTGGCGAATGTCAGCACAAGCGTAACAGATAAAGTTACACCTATTTTTCGGTACCTGCAAGATACACATGTGTTTATAAATGGCTAACTCAGTAAATAAAATACAAAAAAAATGAGTCATAGGTCACCTGCAAAGGAGTAGTGCCAACGGCAGGGCTATGAAGGTAAAGATTTGCATTTCTGCGCTGACATACCACAGGTGACTCAAGCACTGCGCAGAAGAAGTACGGAATTAGTGAACTGGTGACCTAAAATAATTAAACTTTGTATTCTCATCTATTTGTAAGACCGATTTTTAGTCTTGATATATCCGGTCTTTCCCTTTCCACGTTTTATTCACCTTCTGTATTAAAAAAAAGCTTATATCAGTCTATTAAAATTGAAATTGTTTTTAATTTAAAATTCTAGAATTGGAAGTGACCTTTATTTCAAAAAAGTCATTTAATACAAACAATGAGGGATCTTAGGAGCGATAACTTAAGCTTGTTTACAATACACATATACACACAGTCGTTTTAGGAAGTGAGACACTATTAATATTTTTGTTCAGTTTCTCCGCTAACTTTAACGGTGAAACTGAATTGACTTGAATGCAATTTAACGTAAGATCACGTGGAGTAAATGTTTCCGCTAAATGTAACGGGTTAATACACATACAGACGGACACAATTGCGGTGTTAAGGGACTCCGCTAACAAGTTTTTGTGCTTTAAAAAATGAATGCAGCTGCCATTGGCACTTACTTTGTCACACCTAACATTAAACTGCAACAAAATTTGCGTGTTGCTATGTGCAATCGTGATCTTGTTAAAAAACAAACACGTGATGTATTGCTCTTACGGTTTTATAAGTTAGTTAATCTGTCAACATTCAGTAGAAAAAGAGATCGCGATTTGAATGTAGTTAAAATAAGTATCATATAATGATTTTCTAAATTACTTTCGCTTGTCGAATTGGCAAAATCTGTTATGAGTAATTAGGCTGGCCTGTGTTGTTTTCGTTGTGCCCTTTCCCCCATTTATTGGGAAATTACATCATAGCGCTTTTTGTTGGTGCAAAATAATTCGTAATATTTTTTGTTTGTTTTTGCGGGGGGGGGGGCGATTGCTTACTTCATTTTTTTGTTGGCACTAATATTACCCCTTTCATATTATTGTACGCGCTAAACAATCGGGTTTGGTGTGTTAGGAGTATGTGTTTTCAAAATTAAGTAATCACTGTAGCTTTAGAATAAATAAATCTTGTTACTGTGTCCTCTTTCGTGAGAAAGCCCTTCACAAAAGCAAGTTGTCACCTTGTTTCTACCTGTAGGCTTCCACGTGTTCAGGACGAAGGCCACCGTGACATTTCTCTATGTCCTACGCCATAGTCAGTGATAGCAATTTACCAACGGGAAAAAAACGAGGGAAGAAAAATATGCACATTTACTGAGCGTCAAATTTCGGAGGTAAGAATCTTAGAGAATATTTTCCTCTAAAAGAATGCTAGATTAAATATTGGAATGCAATTCATGAAATTCTAATGAAATGCTTTTTTTCTTTACTGCGAAAGCACTAACTGTTTCATAGAGCGAAACGGCGTTATCATCTTTTGAAGCCACGCCGCACCTAAATTTCCCTGTCCCATGAAGCGAAGCCTGTAGTCTGTAGCAGCCACCCGATTGGCTGGTGTGCGGCGTAGGTCCAACGAACACCACCCCCAGAGAAGCCCTCTCCAAGGCGCAGCGGCCCGGCCGCCGGTTAGAGGGAGCTGCTGGCCGCAAAGCCGGCAGAGCCCACCCGGTCACACTCCAGAGAGGTCGCACGGCCGAGCTCAGCGAGGCGCGCAGCTTGTAGGAATACGCTACTTATACGAATGCTTTCCCATTCCGACACGTTAGTAGTCTTAAGTGTCTTTGTAGTTTTTTTTTTATTTTCTCGTAGCTTACTCTTTCATGCAGAGGAGTGAAATTGTTAACTTGAGCCATCAACGTCCACCAGTGACTGGTACATCCTCGGATTTGTTGTAAAATCAGATCCTGGTCTGCTGGTCCATTAGCAATCAGGGGTAGTAGGAATGCAACTAACACGGTTGCCATCACAGGAAGTGTCAATCTGCACACACACGCACACAAACATATAAACAACCTCGCGTAATTTTGCGCTTTAACACTAAATATTTACTTTACTTTGGAGCAGTTGGGTTGTTATCTATATGTATACATCCAACACCAGTGTCGCTTTTATTCTGAAAAAAGTTACAACTATAAGATAGTTGCCCTTCGGCCTTACCAGAAATAGACGTGACTGATAATAAGCTTTATAGTGAGCGTTTTTTGCCGTTATTTATCCACACCCCTCTTTTTTATAAAAAAAAAAAGAACTACCTCGTGAGTGCATCTGTGATTACAGCTATATTTAATCAGATAATATATTGCCAGGAAACTGAATTGCAATAAAAAAACAAAGGGGCGCATGGGACAAACAATTGGCTGGGGGTGATTAGGGGCATGAAAGCGTAACTCAGAGTGAGTTTGAGTACATCCCCTGGCAGAACTGTTATTTTGTCAGTGGTCTAGCCAGGCGGCCTTTAACGCATGTTCTATTAGAAGGACAAACACGCTTACCTGATGTACCTTTTCGCAATGCATGTAAAGAACACATAAAGGGTTGGCTGTGCATGTAGCATAGTAAAGGACAGTAGAAACCCACTGTAACAAAACACAGCACAAGTATGAGCGAAGTAATGGGATCCAGATGTCTAGAACTGAATAAGATTCCTAGATTTGTTTTCAGACTCTGACTTCGTACCTTATCACAAAAAAGGTAGTAACGCTGAGTACGCTATTGGCAATAAACTGAAATCTGAGCGTTGACCCGAGTCGCAGTAACTCAAACGGACTGTCTGCGAAAATTGCAAAAAAACAAAAAGTTAGGACATTTGTTATAGTCGTCATGAATATTCACAGGCAAAGAACGATCACAGGAGACTGCGTGTACGCATGCTGTACAACCATACCCGAGCACGTTTCTATAAACAGCATAATTAAGAGTAGTAGACGAGAAAAACATAGACGTGCTTGAATTGCACTTAAATTGATAAGCAATAAAAATCAACTTACGGAGAAACTCAGGCTGGAGAGCAATGTACTCGTGCGCCAGTAACACCCAATAAGCGCAGATAACTTTCATACCACTTAAGAATAACAGCGACTGATTTAGACCTTTACCGCTTGTTTTCAGCAAGTCTTTTGTATTGGAAGTCGCCGAAAACATTAGGAATATTCTCATGACAAGAACTGAAAGAAAAAATAATGTTGGGGATAGAATTGAATGTGGGCAATTTAGCTGACACTATTGTCAGTAGCAATGCTAACTTAATCTTAACTAGTTTAAGCAAAGTGCTTTACCTTTTGGAGCCACACCCTGAAGGCACCATTCGGCTAAGGTTGCTAGCAGAACAATAAAGCTCAAAGCAGAAAGCACGCTCCTGAAACAGTGTGGTGCTATGAAATAAAGATCGATCTTACGCTATCGCGATTGGAAATAATGTTAACACGTATAATGAATCCTGACTACTCACAGCGAGAATACTTGGAGCGGAGTAACTTCCTTCGGATCATCCGTCCTACAACCTCGTACTTTCGCCAGAACTCTGTAGTTTTGAAAAGCTGTAACGCACAATGAATACACAATACGGTAGGGTCTTTTAATCCATCACTTCATAAATGGACTTTAAATGGTGCACTCCGACATCGGTGGGACATTCTTGAAAATAACTTGTAACTAATGTCAAATACGAAAACCTACGACCCAGAAATGGGTCCGCCGCACAAGAGGAACAGACAGAAGGAAAAATGTTTGTAAAATTTTAACATATTGTTTTGGGGGTTCGTATATTCAATTGTGCATTTAATTACCTTCCGTGTTCTTAGTTCCAAGACATTGTGGGACACATTATACGTGCGATTTTCAACGCCTCGACCATGTCGATAGTAGCAGTTCATTTATACTAGACTTCACAAGCATGCACTTGATGATTGATTTCAATCAAGCAGGTCAATACCACCAAGAATAATCAAAACCTCCGCATCGCCTCCTCTCCTTTCATCAAACGTCATTACAGACGGATCGCGTTAACTCGGCTATTGGGCCCGAGTCCAACCTTCGACGCGCTGATTGAACACGAGCCCCAGCCGAACACTGACGCAGCACTCGTGTCCAGTCTCAGGCCTCGTCGATATGACTGTGATAAGGGTGCGGATGCCTTCTGCTTATCTAGGTGATGTTCACCAGGTTCGCGAGCCAAGATTATGTGTCTCATTTGTAGTGTTTAGCGTTTTATAATGAGTCATGAAATGTTGATAGCGAAAATGATTCGTTGCATTCTTTGATGATTTTGAATGTCCAGTTGAACAGAGAGAAATTAGGCAATCAGCTTTGAGTATAAGGTAATTCTAAAAAAAAAAGTTAACATACAACAAACGCTAGTTACTTAGTGGCTCATGTAATTAAATGTGCATTGATCACTTTGATACACCCGGTTAGCACAAAATATGTCATGCGAACATTAATCGCGCGTAATGATTTTTCATGATTGGTTATGAAAAGCTTTGGCTGGTTTCAAATGCGCTGCTAAAAGGACATGCCAAAGGGCTCTCCGGGTTTATCGAAATAACCTAGACAAGTTTAAATTTATTCAGAAGTGGAGCGTGGAATCCACATGGCTGCCATTAGAAGTTATTATGGCCGCTTCTTTCTTTTTTTTTTCTTTTTCAAAGATTACCCCGCATTGCCCGGAGGCGTTATTGCGGGGGGGGTTACAGTTTTGAAAAAAATACATCTTAATTTGTAGAGCACACCTGGTCTTCAGACAGCCTATTCCACATTGCAATGGTTTTAACAAAAAAGAATTTGCATACATGTTCGTCCTGGCGTTGTACTCTCGGATTTTGAAAGCATATTCAGTCCGCCTAGAAACATAATGTGGGTGTTTTAATTATACTTCTCTGTTAATGACAGTTTTATTATTATATATGAGAAATAAAAACTTCAGTCTCAACTTTTCTCGTCGAGAAGAAAGCAGTTCCCAATTCAATTCGCGTTTCATTTTAGTGCAGCTCTCTCTCCGCCCACAACGACCCAGTACAAACCTAGCAGCTCTATTTTGAATTCTTTCCAATTTATCAATCAAGGTTATGCGCGGGGGGTCCCAGACGTCGCAGGCATATTCTAAAATCGGCCTGACACATGTTAAGTACGCGGTTTTCTTTAATTCAGGTTGTGAACATTTGAAATTCCATTGTATAATATTGAGCGCCCTGCCAGCTTTTAGGATGACATCATCAACTTGAGCATTCCAAGAACAATCGGATGACAGTGTGACACCAAGGTACTTGTAGGTAGTTTCGTTATTTACTAGGGCGTAATCTATCTGATAAGTACTTTCAATTTTTTTCTTTCTCTTGGTAAAACTCAGGTGTACACACTTCTTTGGATTTAAATTCATCTGCCACTTGAAACACCAAGTATTAATACAATCCAAGTCTCGTTGCAACGTAGCAGCATCTTGTTCGTCCTTAATTTTCCTATACACAACGCAGTCGTCAGCAAACAACCGTATACAGGAGGAAATTCCCACGGAAATATTGTTTACATAAATTAAAAACAAAAGTTGTCCAAGGAACGAGCCTTGTGGGACTCCTGACGTTACGTTAACATACTCCGAACTTTTTCCGTTCAAGACAACACATTGGCGACGTTGAAATAAATAATTTTCGATCCATCGGAACACACTTGAGTCTACGTTTAACGACTCTAGTTTACTAGGAAGGAGCGGATGCGACACAGTGTCGAACGCCTTACGGAAGTCTAGAAAAACACAATCCGTTTGCCCTCCATTGTCAATATTGGACGCCAGTTCATGGTAAAATTCTACGAGCTGTGTCGTGCAAGATAGGCCTTTACGAAACCCGTGTTGTTGATTAATTAGTATGCTGTTGTTCGTTATATGTTTCATTATTCCTGTAAATAAAAAAATGTTAAATAATTTTACATGAGATGGCCGTTAGTGCTATTGGCCTGTAGTTTAAAACCTTTTTTGGACCACCTTTATGAATAGGGACAACATGGGCGATTTTCCAATAGTCTGGTAGGATAGCAGTGGAGAGTTACTTTTCGTAGATTACATAAAGATACAACGAAATAGGTCCGGCACAACGCTTTAGTATACGTGGAGAAATACCATCAGGGCCATTTGCCTTAGTTTCGTCAATGTTTCTTAGAAGCAACTCGATGCCCCTCACGCTTAGCTCAACTGGCTCCATTAACGGGATGACACTTGCATGTGCTGGAGGACAGCTGCTATCTTTAGGTAGGAAGATAGATTGAAAGTAATCATTCAAGCACGTAGCCTTTTCAGTATCGTCTAAGAGGACATGATGGTTGTGCACATTTTCGTTTATTCCTAAGACATCTAATCCACAGCCTTTTATAAACTTCCAAAAAAGTTTAGGGCTGGTTTTCATCCTCTCGTTAAGTTTTTTTAAAGTATCCTTCTATCGCAATTTTTATAGATAAAGAGTACATGCAGCGCCTTGAGCTATTTGTTCTCCCGAATGGTTGCTAAAGTAGCTAACGTGAGTAATAAATCTCTGACAATCTACGTATCATGTGAAGACTATGTTCGTGCAGCTCCCGCTTCTGTTCGTAGACATGACGGGTCAGTTTCGCGTGATTCTTGGGATCTTGGACGTCGACATTGAAATCGCCACACAAAAGGTTTATCGGATACGTTAAGCGATTGTTGTCTAAATTGAGACGTCGTACGCGCACCGCTTTATTCATTGGTTAGCTAAAATCTACCCAGTGAAATTGTGAGATCACGTGGGGAGCTACGATCCATCCTTTGGCAACCAGCTGCGCTTCCCAAAAGTCGCCTTCTACCGCAGGATTCATTGAGCCATACGCCACCAACTACTACTTCTCCCGTTCGCCTCCCCATCATGTCGCCGAGCAAAGGCGTGGGGCAGCGAATCCCAAGCCGCGTTTAAATGAATGCAACTTTAGCGCATCCACTCCAATCGTCTTTCGAAAGAAGTTTACGCGGCAAAGTTTACATGAATGCTCAGCAAGCCCTACGCGAAGGTGGCACCACGCGGCCGTGCCGTGTCAAAGCTCAAAGTTAAAGCTGTGTTTCCGGCAACAGCCGCACCACGTAACCACGTTCTCCGGTGCATCGTACGTGAAGTCCTTTCGACACTTTCGGCAAGCGTAAAGACCGTGCCCGCTGTCTTCGGTCTTGTGCAAGAAGTTACAAGATGGAAGAAACATGAAAACCCAAGCAGTTTTGGTTAACCGGGCCGGGCCGCCGGGCCACTCTGGACCAGAGGCGTCGCGTGTGCGCACGCTCTGGCGAGCGAGATCGTTTCCTTACCCTCTAAGGACGCCATCGCGCGCTTCGCCTCGCCAAACCTCGCCGGCAGCGACCGCACGAACCGAACCCCGAGGTCAAAAGGCTCTGGCGGTGCCAACAGCAGTACGGAGGTAGGAGCTGCTCGTTCTGCGCTACCATGCAGTCCTCGGAGTTCTCGGCGGCGTTCGTGCTTGCACCGAAACCTTTACTTCCTCGGACGCACAAGTCGTACTTCGCAAGGCTTGGACGAAGGCCGCCCTCACTGAGCAGTTCAGCTATATTCCACTCACTTATGATGGCAATAAAAGCTCGCGTTTCTTCTCGGGAGAAAAATGCGGTCGACCACACGGGACTGCTCTCCACACCGCCGACAAGGTTGGCCGCCGCCATGTTCTCAGCTGTTCACTCGCTCCCGCAGCGAGCGTCTTCCGATAATCTTCCCCGTTCCGAAACGCAATGCAACCTCCGTTTGCATGGGAATGCGCATTCGCCGGCTGGATCCACCTCTCTCTACCGATTTGAATGCGATGCGCGTCCTTAGCACATTATGCCATTTACATGACCGCATGGAATCCGACAACTGGATTCGATGCGACAAAGCCACATTCATGTAAACGCGGCTCCACTGTCCGTTTTTTTTTATTCTTACGCATTACCTGGTGTGATCTATGCACTCTTTATTCTGTCTCAGCCTGCGAGTAATATTATTTTTGTTATATTAAAGTGTAGCGTTTTTAGCGTGAAAATCATCCCTCAAACACATTCTATGTTCATATTTGCGCTGCAGCTGAGGCACGTGCCTGAACGATGTGCGCGCAGGTGGCACAGGGCTTACTCAAAACCTGTTCTAATGTGGCCCTGGACGATATCTCGATAATTAAGCACCTTCTCAGAAGTGGGATTTCTTACTTGGCACCTCATGGCTAGAGCACTGCACGGGCCCGGGCCAGCCCGAAAGCCCGAGCCCGGCCCGGCCCGCGGGCCGGGCTCGGGCCGGGTAGCACGTATTTTCTCGGGCCCGGGCCGGGCTCGGGCTTGAACAAAAAAGTTCTCGGGCCGCGCCGGCCCGGGCCGGCCCGGGTCGTGCCTGGGCAATCTTGTTCCGTAAATCATAAATTGTAGTTGATAGCAAGAAGTTTGCTCATTAATCTTGTAGGTTCATTGAATACAAAAAATTCGAAGTGCAAATTCACTACAGCGTCGTTAAAAATAATAGCTAAAAGGCGTCTTGAGGCTAGAAAGCCTTCAAGCTTTTTC